AGGGGGCGGCTGAGTCAGAGCTGGCTGGGACAGGGACCCTGCAAACACAGATCCTCATTAGGGCTATGAGGGAGGGGAGAGCCAGTGAGCTGTTGCATGAGCAAGGACAGGGGTGGGGCTGGGGGACTGGAGGTGGAGGACCCTATGCAGGCACTGCCCACTGCCCACCCTGACCTGTGAGGAGAGTGAGGAGGGTGAGGAGGAAAGGAGCCCAGGCCATGGTGGGGGTCCCAGTGCCGGATCCTTCAGGTCATCAGCTCAGCAGGGCTCCTAAGCCTCTTATCCCCTCAGCACAGGGCTGGGCTGGGCACAACCCTCCCTGCAAACCCTCCATGCAAATCTGCTTCCCACAGAGTGTGGGTCTGCCCTGCTCAGGGGGCTCAGAGTGAGAGTTCAGTTTTACTTGATTCCCAGGGTTTGTCTCCCCCTAGTGGCCCAGGCAGTGACCATCACCCTCAAGGCTCAGAGAAGCCTCCCTGGGTCTCTGAGTCACAGCCTGTTGGTGGCGCCCAAGTGCGTGTCCTGGACTGTCCTCAGGCTCCACTCCCACAGTGCTTTACTTCTGTGCTATAGGGCTGAGCCTGTACCCTTTATTTTTCCTCCTTAGAAATCTTTCTTGCATGTGTGGTACCCACTATTCCATGATGCCACTTGATTAGGTCCTTTGCTTAAGGGAAGATGTTTGGTCACTGAATAAGTATATGTGTGGACATAATCATATATACATATTCATGTCTGTCTCTATATATTTACATGTATTTGTGGATCTCCTCTCATGGTGGTCCATCGACTCTCTCTCTATGGACGGTGGAGGAGCTTGTAGAGTCAAACTATATACCTGGGTGCTGGGAAGGATGCAGGAAGACAGGAAGCCCACCATGATGCCTTGTGCCAGGAGGAAGGAGTGAGAGGGGTCATTGGAGGAGTCCGACCCGGTGGGTCCCCAGGATCTGTTTTGAGCCTTTTACCTTCGAGCACAGCTTTTGTTGACTCAGCACGTTGGCAAGGCCACTGCTGTACATCCCCCACCCCCACCCCCGACTTATGAGCAAAGCTTGGGTCGACTCAGCATGTTGGCAAAGCCGCTTGCTGTGTGTTCCCGAGACTGCAGTAGCCTTGCTGGGAAGCGACCCCCCTCTGACTCCCTAATATATTACTATAAAAGAATTACATATCTCTCATACATCTTGATTATGTGATAAGATTTCCTGAACATCCCCTGACCACTCCCCTTTGTCCTGATCACCTACTGTTAATTACAATGCTTCATCCATGTGGTCACAATAGAGGGTGTGCTGAAGTTCTATCTCGGCAGAAATAATCTTCTTGACCTTTGGAAGGTCCTTCAAGATACATTTAACATAAGCTGAAAAATAATCTTTTCTTTACATAAAATAGGATTAGGCCGAAACTGGCCCAGGACACCCCCGCCCTCACCAAATGAAATAGATAAATATTAGGATTCCTTAAATTAAGTTTTAGATTCCTATAAAATTATATAAGTATCATTCTTTATTGAGATCCATAAGAACTAATACCTATACTTGAGATTTTCTTTTTAGCATCGTACTCATTACAAGGTAATCTTGTGATTACAAGATGGCTGCCGCCGAGCATCGGCTGATAATTAACTCTGCTTGCTGGAGGCTATTTCCTGAGACGGCATTCATGACATTTCTGAAGACCTGCCTACATCAAACAATTGCTGAACTGTAATAGACCCGCCCTTAATCCAACCCTGAATGGAATCTATGTTCACTGTTGTTAAAACTTTATGAACTGATCATTAGAACACATAGCCCCTCACCCGTTTACTTGCATGTATCACATTTTCAATAAAAAGGCATGATAGTTCCTAGCAGTTGTCACTCTTCAGAGAGCAATCTCTGGGAGTGTCCAACAGAGGACGAGCATGAAAATGGCACCAAGGCCTCAACCTTTCCTTCCTGCGCCGCCTCCGATGAGATAACCCACCCCCGCCGAGGCTGGACCCCGACAGGCCAGCTCTCTCCTTTCATTTGTTCCTAAAGGCCTTGTTGTCAGATGATGGAGGGTGAAGAAAAGAGGTTCAGACTGACTGAAATAACCCCCCGTTGCGTGCCAGTCTTCATTTTGGCATTGAGACCTTCCTTTTCCAAATGCTTTTCTTTCTTTCTTTTTTTTTTATAGAGGATTTCTTGCTATAGGGTGTGTGCACTTGCCAGAAATACAGAGACAGAGAGACAGAAAGTGAGAAATCACCCCCCAAAGGGGATGGCCACACCACAATCCTTTCTCCTCCGTTCTCCTCTCGGGATCTTGGGCACGCACACACATGTGTCCAGTGTGAGTTTAAGCCACTGTGTTTGGAAATTGAACTGCAGTTGACTACATGAAAGTCCAGCAACATAGCCATTATGCCCACTGCTGGTCCCCCTAAATGCTCTTTATTTTCAGCCTGAGTCAAGTCCCTCCACGTGACTGTCCATGGTGTGACTGTCTACTGATGTCAGCCAGAGCTGGCCTGGATCACTCGAGGAGGCACCTGGACCTTCAGTTGTAAGGTCAGCATAGAGAGGGATCTATGGAAGAATTTTTTTTAATCTATGGGGAAATATCGAGAGAGAAACTTTCAAGATAACTTCTCTTTGGAACAATGCCAGTACATGTTTTTTAACATCAACAAATAGGCACAAGGGAGCCAGCAGTTAGCGTAATGGCTATGTTGCTGGACTCCCACGTTGTCGACCGCGGTTCGCGTCCTGGACCTGGTGGCTTAAAACTCATGCCGAGCGCATGTGCATGCATGCCCAAGATCCCAAGAGGAGAATGGAGGAGAAGGGAATGCGGCGTGACCATCCCCCCTGGGGGGTGATTT